ACTCGCCTTGTAATCAGAAGGTAGCTGGTTTGATTCTATGTTACTTTGTTTGTATTACCTGTCAAAATCCCATCCATCCTCATACTAGACGAGGCTACCAAGTCAGTTGCAAGGGAATGACTTGATCGTAAAACATGTCAAAATGTAACATGTAAAAATGTAACATGTGGAAATATAAGAAGTTAAAATGTAACATGTTAAAATGTAACGTGTTAAAATGTAACATTTTAAAATGTAACATGCTTAAATGTAACTTGTTAAAATGTAACATATTAAAATGTAACATGTAAAAATGTAACATGTAAAATTGTAACCTTTTAAAATGTAACATGCTTAAAGGTAACTTGTTAAAATGTAACACATTAAAAACGTTATGAGTACTGGTATGAGTAAAAGTTTTTATGTCAGCTTGGTGGTTGAGTGATTATAGTACTGCTTTACTCGCCTTGTAATTAGAAGGTAGCTGGTTTGATTCTATGTTACTTTGTTTGTATTACCTGTCACTAGTTTGGTATTACTAATTTAATTAATCTTTGTCACAGGTGTACGAGGCTGCTGGGCTGGCCAATGCTGACAGTTTTATCCGACAGTTCCCTGATGGCTACAGTACCATTCTGGGGGAGAGAGGAGTTACCGTGTCTGGGGGCCAGAAACAGAGGATAGCTATCGCCCACGCTCTACTGAAAATCCCATCCATCCTCATACTAGACGAGGCTACCAGGTCAGTTGCAAGGGAATGACTTGATCGTAAAACATGTTAAAATGTAACATGTAAAAATGTAACATGTGGAAATATAAGAAGTTAAAATGTAACATGTTAAAATGTAACGTGTTAAAATGTAACATTTTAAAATGTAACATGCTTAAATGTAACGTGTTAAAATGTAACATATTAAAATGTAACATGTAAAAATGTAACATGTAAAATTGTAACCTTTTAAAATGTAACATGCTTAAAGGTAACTTGTTAAAATGTAACATATTAAAAACGTTATGAGTACTGGTATGAGTAAAAGTTTTTTATGTCAGCTTGGTGGTTGAGTGATTATAGTACTGCTGTATTCAGAAGGTAGCTGGTTTGATTTTATGTTACTTTGTTTGTATTACCTGTCACTAGTTTGGTATTACTAATTTAATTAATCTTTGTCACAGGTGTACGAGGCTGCTGGGCTGGCCAATGCTGACAGTTTTATCCGACAGTTCCCTGATGGCTACAGTACCATTCTGGGGGAGAGAGGAGTTACCGTGTCTGGGGGCCAGAAACAGAGGATAGCTATCGCCCGCGCTCTACTGAAAATCCCATCCATCCTCATACTAGACGAGGCTACCAGGTCAGTTGCAAGGGAATGACTTGATCGTAAAACATGTTAAAATGTAACATGTAAAAATGTAACATGTGGAAATATAAGAAGTTAAAATGTAACATGTTAAAATGTAACGTGTTAAAATGTAACATTTTAAAATGTAACATGCTTAAATGTAACGTGTTAAAATGTAACATATTAAAATGTAACATGTAAAAATGTAACATGTAAAATTGTAACCTTTTAAAATGTAACATGCTTAAAGGTAACTTGTTAAAATGTAACATATTAAAAACGTTATGAGTACTGGTATGAGTAAAAGTTTTTTATGTCAGCTTGGTGGTTGAGTGATTATAGTACTGCTGTATTCAGAAGGTAGCTGGTTTGATTCTATGTTACTTTGTTTGTATTACCTGTCACTAGTTTGGTATTACAAATTTAATTAATCTTTGTCACAGGTGTACGAGGCTGCTGGGCTGGCCAATGCTGACATTTTTTTCCGACAGTTCCCTGATGGCTACAGTACCATTCTGGGGGAGAGAGGAGTTACCGTGTCTGGGGGCCAGAAACAGAGGATAGCTATCGCCCGCGCTCTACTGAAAATCCCATCCATCCTCATACTAGACGAGGCTACCAGGTCAGTTGCAAGGGAATGACTTGATCGTAAAACATGTTAAAATGTAACATGTAAAAATGTAACATGTGGAAATATAAGAAGTTAAAATGTAACATGTTAAAATGTAACGTGTTAAAATGTAACATTTTAAAATGTAACATGCTTAAATGTAACGTGTTAAAATGTAACATATTAAAATGTAACATGTAAAAATGTAACATGTAAAATTGTAACCTTTTAAAATGTAACATGCTTAAAGGTAACTTGTTAAAATGTAACATATTAAAAACGTTATGAGTACTGGTATGAGTAAAAGTTTTTTATGTCAGCTTGGTGGTTGAGTGATTATAGTACTGCTGTATTCAGAAGGTAGCTGGTTTGATTTTATGTTACTTTGTTTGTATTACCTGTCACTAGTTTGGTATTACTAATTTAATTAATCTTTGTCACAGGTGTACGAGGCTGCTGGGCTGGCCAATGCTGACAGTTTTATCCGACAGTTCCCTGATGGCTACAGTACCATTCTGGGGGAGAGAGGAGTTACCGTGTCTGGGGGCCAGAAACAGAGGATAGCTATCGCCCGCGCTCTACTGAAAATCCCATCCATCCTCATACTAGACGAGGCTACCAGGTCAGTTGCAAGGGAAAGACTTGATCATAAAAAATGTTAAAATGTAACATGTAAATATGTAAAATGTAAAAATGTAGAAGAAGACGACGACGACGACGACGATAAGAAGTTAAAATGTAACATGTTAAAATGTAACGTGTTAAAATGTAACATTTTAAAATGTAACATTTTAAAATGTAACATGCTTAAATGTAACTTGTTAAAATGTAACATATTAAAATGTAACATTAAACATTAACATTAAACATTAACATTAACATTAACATTAAAATGACGACGACGACGACGACGACGACGACGACGACGACGACGACGACGACGACGACGACGACGACGACGACGACGACGACGACGACGACGACGACGACGACGACGACGACGACGACGACGACGACGACGACGACGACGACGACGACGACGACGACGACGACGACGACGACGACGACGACGACGACGACGACGACGACGACGACGACGACGACGACGACGACGACGACGACGACGACGACGACGACGACGACGACGACGACGACGACGACGACGACGACGACGACGACGACGACGACGACGACGACGACGACGACGACGACGACGACGACGACGACGACGACGACGACGACGACGACGACGACGGTTTTTATGTCAGCTTGGTGGTTGAGTGATTATAGTACTGCTGTACTCGCCTTGTAATCAGAAGGTAGCTGGTTTGATTCTATGTTACTTTGTTTGTATTACCTGTCAAAATCCCATCCATCCTCATACTAGACGAGGCTACCAAGTCAGTTGCAAGGGAATGACTTGATCGTAAAACATGTCAAAATGTAACATGTAAAAATGTAACATGTGGAAATATAAGAAGTTAAAATGTAACATGTTAAAATGTAACGTGTTAAAATGTAACATTTTAAAATGTAACATGCTTAAATGTAACTTGTTAAAATGTAACATATTAAAATGTAACATGTAAAAATGTAACATGTAAAATTGTAACCTTTTAAAATGTAACATGCTTAAAGGTAACTTGTTAAAATGTAACACATTAAAAACGTTATGAGTACTGGTATGAGTAAAAGTTTTTATGTCAGCTTGGTGGTTGAGTGATTATAGTACTGCTTTACTCGCCTTGTAATTAGAAGGTAGCTGGTTTGATTCTATGTTACTTTGTTTGTATTACCTGTCACTAGTTTGGTATTACTAATTTAATTAATCTTTGTCACAGGTGTACGAGGCTGCTGGGCTGGCCAATGCTGACAGTTTTATCCGACAGTTCCCTGATGGCTACAGTACCATTCTGGGGGAGAGAGGAGTTACCGTGTCTGGGGGCCAGAAACAGAGGATAGCTATAGCCCGCGCTCTACTGAAAATCCCATCCATCCTCATACTAGACGAGGCTACCAGGTCAGTTGCAAGGGAATGACTTGATCGTAAAACATGTTAAAATGTAACATGTAAAAATGTAACATGTGGAAATATAAGAAGTTAAAATGTAACATGTTAAAATGTAACGTGTTAAAATGTAACATTTTAAAATGTAACATGCTTAAATGTAACGTGTTAAAATGTAACATATTAAAATGTAACATGTAAAAATGTAACATGTAAAATTGTAACCTTTTAAAATGTAACATGCTTAAAGGTAACTTGTTAAAATGTAACATATTAAAAACGTTATGAGTACTGGTATGAGTAAAAGTTTTTTATGTCAGCTTGGTGGTTGAGTGATTATAGTACTGCTGTATTCAGAAGGTAGCTGGTTTGATTCTATGTTACTTTGTTTGTATTACCTGTCACTAGTTTGGTATTACAAATTTAATTAATCTTTGTCACAGGTGTACGAGGCTGCTGGGCTGGCCAATGCTGACAGTTTTATCCGACAGTTCCCTGATGGCTACAGTACCATTCTGGGGGAGAGAGGAGTTACCGTGTCTGGGGGCCAGAAACAGAGGATAGCTATCGCCCGCGCTCTACTGAAAATCCCATCCATCCTCATACTAGACGAGGCTACCAGGTCAGTTGCAAGGGAATGACTTGATCGTAAAACATGTTAAAATGTAACATGTAAAAATGTAACATGTGGAAATATAAGAAGTTAAAATGTAACATGTTAAAATGTAACGTGTTAAAATGTAACATTTTAAAATGTAACATGCTTAAATGTAACGTGTTAAAATGTAACATATTAAAATGTAACATGTAAAAATGTAACATGTAAAATTGTAACCTTTTAAAATGTAACATGCTTAAAGGTAACTTGTTAAAATGTAACATATTAAAAACGTTATGAGTACTGGTATGAGTAAAAGTTTTTTATGTCAGTATTCAGAAGGTAGCTGGTTTGATTCTATGTTACTTTGTTTGTATTACCCGTCACTAGTTTGGTATTACTAATTTAATTAATCTTTGTCACAGGTGTACGAGGCTGCTGGGCTGGCCAATGCTGACAGTTTTATCCGACAGTTCCCTGATGGCTACAGTACCATTCTGGGGGAGAGAGGAGTTACCGTGTCTGGGGGCCAGAAACAGAGGATAGCTATCGCCCGCGCTCTACTGAAAATCCCATCCATCCTCATACTAGACGAGGCTACCAGGTCAGTTGCAAGGGAAAGACTTGATCATAAAAAATGTTAAAATGTAACATGTAAATATGTAAAATGTAAAAATGTAGATGTGTCTACAGATTGAGTGGTAAGTAAATGGTTAGGGGAACTTTAACCTAATTTCCACCATTTTTATTTTCTTTTAACATGTGTCCACTTTAAGGTTACATTTACCTCTAGTAATTTCAGCAATAAAAAGTTTGGGAATTGATAAGGAACATAATTTTATTATCCGTCGAAGGTTGTCTGTACGCTAAGCGCCAATTCGTTAGCTGGACTTCTAGCTCAAAATAACTAACATTTTATTTATATATTTTTTTAATTTTTTATGCATTCAAGTATTTCCCCCATTTAAATCGTTAATATGTGCTGGAAAACGCTACATTATGTGTTATATTGTTAAAAAAAGGTTTTAAAATTTTTAATAAATTTGAGGTCTATTTCCGTTTTATTAGACTGTACACAGAATGGGTGGTGGGGGTATGGAATTCTCCGCCCGCCGTTAGCTGGCGATAGCTGTCTTCACGATCGTTGGCGTAGGGCAAGGCTAGGTTCCGCTATCGATAGACAGGCCTACACTATAGTACCCTATTAGGTTATTATATTGGGTCTCTCACTCTTTGGCAGTTTCCTGTTAAAGGGAACATTCATTATTATCGATGATTTCTTTTCGATATAAGCTTATCAATATTTTTGTTTTACTTCATGATTCATAACTTATTCCTTCTGTTATCTTCAAACACATTTAAATTATCTACTAATTTAGAAGTAGGCCGAACCTTGTTTAGGCAAACATTAAATAGCCTATTTTATTGGATTATAAAATCAAACTAAGCTAATCTAACCTAAGTTATAACATAACTAACCAAACTTGCTGTATAGGCTATGTTACCGTTTCAAAATTCCGTTTAATAACAGAAAAGGAATGGAGAATGGCTGTTTAACGGACAGAAAAATAAAATTTTGATATTCAAAAAGAAATTATCTACATATACTGTAATAAATGTTCCCTTTAACAGGAAAGTACCCATTCTTTACATTATACCATAGACAAAAAGAATTAAATATAGACCGTCAGCTGTGCTGCGGTTACCATAGGTTCTGGCGCACACCGCTTGAGCACCACGGTAGTTACGGCGTACGCGCTACGTAAACTACAGCGGTGTGCGCCGGAACCTATGGTAACCATGGCAACCGCAGCACGGCTGGTAGTCTGTATATAATTCTTTTTGTCTATGATTATACTTGCTACTCATACACACATATAGTCTCTAACTTAATAAGAATGCTGTAACCTTTTGAAAGAGGCATTTTCTCGCGCTGTTGTAATAGTCAGAATATTAAAACATCGTTTGTTTAATTTAAATAGCGGTTTGTTTGAAGTTATTTAGAGTAACATGGCCATGAGAAACATGCTATTTGAAACTCCAACGACAGGAAAATATATGTTAAGTTTTATAAACGATTAAATTGTAGGCTATTAATTTGTAGCGGCCAAAAACTGTTGTCCCGTTACCTACTTTTAGGAATAAACAATCTGTCCTCTACTTAGTGATGTAAAAATCATTATACAGGTTGTTATGGTCATCTTACTAATTATAATATTATTATTAAGATCAAAATAACTAGGCCTACAATTTATTCTTTAGTTGGGGTAATTTTGATGAAACAAATAACAATACATTTACAGTCTTCATTTTATGCTAGAATGTTTTACTATAAACAATGTAGGCTATTAAGAACTGCACTAAAGTCCTTTAGACAACCTGCAATATCAGTACCTTCAATACCTTTAATAACTTATATATTGGGTGAAATATCAGTTCGTTATACAAATAGTATTTTATATTATTCCCTGCGATATAAATTCCGATTTTTGTTTTGAGTATTAAAGTTACTGTATCGTGATATGAATATTTAAAGCCATAGATTCTTTTCAAATAGACTTTCACACTGTGCTGTGGTGGTTAAACAAGGTTAGTTCAGTTTGGTTTAGTTTATGTTAATAAAAACCAGATAACACCTAAATAAATAGCCTACAAATTGTTCCAATAGTATCATCATTGGGTTGGGTTAGTGTTGTACAGTTTTCTATCAAAACTGATTGTCAAAAGCGCCAAATTATACCTAGTCGTGTCATTTCATGAGTAACTTAGCTTATAGAAAAAAGCTAAACGTTTTGTTAATGATACCTTGTTTGTTTATAAACTATAGGCCTACCACTTTCAAAAGAACCTGCGCAGAACCATGGCTGTCTCGCGCATGTAGGGGTGAAGGGTGATGGTGGGGAAGGGCCTGGAGCAGTGGTGGGGATAAGTCGTTGGGGCGAGGTGTCTTTCCCCACCACTCTGACTCTCCTGCTGTCCTGCATGCTCGACTCATACAGGTGCGTGGTTTTTTCTATGTGGTAGGCCTATAAGCTAACATAACCTAAACGCCGCAATGGTCTGTAAAAGATTGGCGGGTGGTCCTCTTTTTAAAAAGACCATAGGCTAACAGATTAATAAGCAGGCCTATTTCTTAATCAATATATTTTATATAAATTTGAAGCTATTGTCAGTAGGCCTATTAATTTATAGAAACTGAAAATTTGATAGGATAGTATAATACATTAAAGTTTCTCTGCCGAACTTTACCCCATAACATTGCTGTTGCAGTGCAATGTAATTTTCAGAATCAGTCTTCTTCGCTTTGTATTTAGGCTAAGTAAAATTTATTTTCCTTGCTGCATATTAGGGAACATTATTACTATGTTTAATAGCCATGATAAGGTACAGTAGACTCCCTCTTATTTGGACACCTTTTAACCTGACATCGGTTAAACCAGACAACACTCGGTGGAAATTACATCTCTTAAGGCCTATTTTGCTTGGAGCGACTGTAGCGATAGTCGCACAGCGATTATCACTCAGCTACTATAGCTGACAAGGCGGCCGTTTTGCTTAGAGCGTTTGATTTTCGATCGCACAGCGATTTTTCATAGTTAGTTAAATATCAGCACTCACAATGGTGAAGTCATGAGTGTGAATTGTAATTCATTAAAGCGTCTCCTCGGTGAGGATTTAGGAGACGAGGCTCCACTCGACCCTAGTGGAAGTATCAATGGACGATCGATTGAAAATACATAGTGATACTTAGGATTAGGGACGGATACGTATCACTAGGACATAAATAGAAAACTGTAGTGATATCAATGAAAAAATATTATTTATATAAATAAAAAAAAATAGTGATATCAATAAGAGTACATGAATGTCGGAAAATAAAACCTGGAGTCTAAATAAAAATTGTAAAAAATATTCACAAAAACTGACACAGTATTAACGCCCACACTACGTAAATAACACATAACAACTTGGAACAGTCAAGCATTTTATATTTAATAAATTTGAATAGACGTAAATTATCTTAACAAATTTAAACAAGTCGCCTGTTTCTACTAAAATTTAATTTAGAAAATGAAATTAATGTGTAATGAAATATAACCAAAACAGTAGAATCGTAACAGCACATGAATAGAAAAATTAATGTGAACAATAAAGAAAATTATGGTTAATTTAACCCCTATTATGTGCCTACTGAGTGAATTGCACTGTTTTGAGGTTCTGCGCATCAGTCGCGGCGCGATTATCGCTCAGACTGGTCCCTGGGGCAGTGGTCCGCGACTGTAGCTAGCGACTCTTGCGATAGTCGCTCCAAGCAAAACAGGACAACGCAAACTCCGTCAGAGCAGTGCCCGGCTACTATCGCGGAGCGATTATCGCCACGCGTCTATCACTGCAATCGCTCCAAGCAAAATAGGCCTTTAACCGGGCAATTTTTATCAGCACATCGGTTTAACCGGACTAGGTCGGCAGGAAGTGGGAGGTAAGCGTTACTGAAACGACTGTTCTTGTGTTAAGGATATGAGAACAGTGATTATGCTCTACTACATTTTAGTCAAATACTGTATATACAGTATACATTTAAACGGTCAGTTTTAATGAGTTTGTGGGACGTCAGTTTAACGAGAAAACCCATTATCCGGACTGACCTCGGTCCCGAGAGTCTGGATAAGAGGGAGTCTATTGTAGGCTACTGTACATTTTACTATGTTATAGTGACACGAATAAAAAAATAAAAGCCAAAACTTCATGCAATAACCCCATAGTACCACATACAATATGTTTACTAGTGTGAACTACGCTGTAGGCTTCACATTGAATGTGTTGCCCATGTTTATTAAATTAACCTAAAACAGAGTTGTTTTGTTACAGAGTCATTGATTGAGGTGCTGGTTAGAGGTGAGTCGGGACTGCAGTATCTGATACTTTGTATCGGATACTCACCAGTCCCGTGTGTAACTGTTACTCAAAACCAAAAGTATCTGATACTGGAGTACTCGTTTATACTATTGAGTACTGGTACTGCTTAACCTTCAATCCAGTACCAGGACTCGTCTCGGGTATCAGTTCAGTAGTAGCCTACTCGTTTAAACTTAACTGAGTATTATAGCTGAAAATACATAATCATTTGTTAGTAATAACAAATTCCACAAATATGAAAACTGCTTTCATTGATCACTATAAATCAATAAACTGCTTAAGAACACATATTAATCATTTTGTAAAGGAACTGAGTACTGCCAGTGGTATCACTAATGGCAATGGTATTATACTGATACAGGAACACTCTACGGGTACCAAATCCCGTCGGCCGTGATGAGTACTCATGAGTACAAAGTAATCATCAAAAGTAACTGATACTCGAGAGTACCAGTACCGGTAGTAATCAGTATTTCGATGTACTCGTTTAGCCCATCTCTAGTGCTGGTGAACTGATTGAAGACTTAAAAATGTTTTGTCATTAGTGTGAGGTGTGATAGTACGGACTGTTGTGATAAATTACTACTGTTTATGATTTACTTTATATGTTTTAAAATAAATGTTCTACATAAACTATTAAAATTGAATGATCATTTACAATGCCACTATTTCCAGCTGTAATAATTTTTTTTATACTTCTTTTAATTATTTTTTACTTTGTTTCTAAACATAAGTTCTGATGTAGTCAATATTTGCATAATATGCACTTTCAAAAATATAAAATAGTAAACACAACAGCTTTTTATATACCATTGTTATTATTTATTGGCGTTTTTGTATTGCAATAAGAATAAGAATAAGAATAAGAAAGTTTATTGCCATTGACCAAGTTGTACATCGTTAAGTTGCATGCGTAGTTGCAGATGCATTGGTCTGTTTAAATGTATAAAGGAACTAAAATAAAATCTGAAAATTCCAGACTAACATAAAGATTATTCAAACAAAGGAGGTTGAAGTATGTAAACAATACCAAAAACTCTTAAGTTATTTTGAATTTGGTAAGTTTAATTTGATACCAAATATCGTTGACCTTATTTCCTATATTTTCTCTGGATGGTATTTCAATTTATTTTATAGTTGCAATGATTCTGCTCCACTCAAATTCCAGGGCATGGACTGCAATCAATATCTGCCAACATCAAATTCGAGAAAATCTAAAAATTTGTTAACTCACTTGTATATACCGTATAACATTTAAATACAACATGAAAAATAATAGGATTTCCTGGAATTTTTCTAAAATGTTTGAGATCATTCTCAACATCCCAGGCAATTTCCTTGAATATACTTGGATCATTCATAAAAAATATTCAAAGAAAATTTTTATATTGCCTAGAAATCTGAAGAACATTCTCAGAATATTCTGGAAAAGTACTCTGAAATATTCATGGTATCTGAACATATTAAGTTTAAATTATTAATTTTGTCAAATATCACAAAATAACTTGAAAAATACAAAAAACAATGTTTTTAGGGTAAAAAATGGGAAAACTCAATTTTTAGTCCATTCCCATAGTTAGTATTAAAGTACCGAATAGGTACTTAAAATGCAACGGATGATGGGGGTGACAGAGATGACTGACTCAAGTCGTCAATCGTCATGGAACGGAGGTAGCTAACAGCAGAACAGAACTGAAACTGAACTGAACTAGTAAGTTATGACTCCTGAGTCGACTCGTTGAAGACCAAATACAACTGAATTGATTCTTTCTGGCGCATGCGCAGTAGGCTAGTCCAATTCCTGCCCTGAAACGCTCGCCTTTACTTGACGTCCTACACTCATTCGAATGAAAATATCGATCGATATATCGATTAATCGATTGCTTCATTCGATATATCGTTTGGTTAGTTAGGTAAGGTTAACCTAACCTAACTAACCAAACGATATATCGAATGAAACAATCGAACTAAAATATCGAATCGAAAAAAACAATCGAATGAGTGTAGGACGTCAAGTAAAGTGCAGCCCTTCGAAGTACACAATACATCATAATACATAAAAGCATAAAATATTATATCCTTTCATTCATCGTTCTTCGAGAAAAGGAATTTTACAATTCAGGAAAAATCTGTTTTTTATTTATGATTATAAATCTAAGAATCCATATATTAATTTGAAACTGTTTTTCTTTGTCACAGCTATTTTGAAAGAACGGCTGGGTGTTAAATTTGTATTCTTATATTATTGTCAGATTCAATCTCCCTACCTCAGGCGATTGAACGAACGAGTCCTACCTTACTGACCATCTTACTCATCCTTCACTCTTCACTCATATTTGGGTTGAAATACGCACCTATAGGTGGCGTCCCCATCAATGATTGATATTTTAATGAATGCTTCTTGGCACGTCCGAAGATAAGCGTCGGATCTCCATCGGTCCATCACCACTTCTGTGGCTGCACAGCCACTATTTCTTAGTCTAGGTCACCTTGTTCTTCTAGACCTCTTTGCTCAGAATGGAGAAGGCCACACGGCTAAGGCTGTCTGTAGTGTTATAACCAAGCAATCAAGTTATAAAGTACAAATCATGAAACATGAACGTAAAAATACATTCTCTTAAATTTACGCTCTGCGTTGCCAGCGTAAAGTTAGTAGTCTATACGAAAAAAGCCAGATTCCAGAAAACTTTTATTATGCCTCCCATATGGTCCTTTCTTTGATTATACATATATATAATCAATGACCTAATTTGATTAGAACTACTCTTTTCCTATTTCGTTTTGTTTATTAATATCATATGTGAATGTGACAATAATTTAGTAAATACGTAACGTGTCAGCGTTTTCTTTCTGCTGCCAGCCATTGCCAATATTGCCATTATTTGTTGTTGGCAAAACATTCCAAGAGTAAACAAACTTGGAACACATAACTTAGTGTAAATGTTTGCTCCTTTAAGTGTTGTGTTATAAAGTAAATGACGTAGGCCTAAAATATATTTTATCGAGGCTAAAATAGCAAATTTACTTATATCTAAGTTTTAACACACGCGACTTGGTTTCCACGAAAGAGTGCACTCCTGATTCCTAGGCTTTCTCAATGCTTAACCTTAACATTATCATAAATTATCTACTTAACCATTAATGTTTGCTTTTTTATAAGACTGTCGTGAACAAATTATCAATGAATACCAAAAGAAAATTCGACAACAGAAACTCAAGTGGGAGGAATTACAACAATTTCAACGTTAAAACAAATAGCAACTATTTAACCTTAAATTATGATGACAATACTGTTCAATGTAAACGAACTGAAATTATTCGAGATGGAAGAAAATTTCCAGTTTTCCAAAAACCATCAGTGATTGGTGTCTTCAGTGTTGATACAAACAGAAAGTTTCTTCCTAATGAAAGTCAACTTAAGTACTTGTTTTGGTGCAAGTCTCCTCAAGGAGGTCTTGCCAGCAAAGTAAATTTTAATTTAAATGAAGGTATTGAAAAATGTGTTCGTAAAGATGAGTTGCTTAACGAGAAACTAGATCATATATTTACCTGGATACAAGCAGAAGGGAATCAAAAAGAAGAATTTCAAGTAAGTTATGAGACAGTCACAGATGTGAAAAATCTCAAAAAATCAATCTTACTTAGGCCTAGGCCCATTATAGGTCGGCCGCTTAGAAAACGGCCTGCGCAAAGTTTTTAGCGCATGTAGGGGAGGTAACGGCGAGGGAGGGTATGTTCCCCCTCGCTGCCAATGGCCGTTTTCACACTACACGACACGACACCGGAACGGCGCTGCCCCGGTGTTGTGGGAGTTGGAATCCTGTGTTACCAAATGAAACAGCGTACACAATGATATAATAACATTTCATGATCCTCAAATATTGATGCGATTTAGGCTATACAATATTTTTGCAGGACCTATTTTTCTCAAGTTATGAAGAACGTACTGGTAATTGTTTATATTTTGATCAGCTGTATAATTTAATTGCTGTTAATATTCAAGCTGCAATTCAAAGAAGGTTGGGGGTGGCAGCAGCAGAGTGGGGTAAGAGCCATAGTCTGTCTCACTCTCACATCTCGGTATCTCTCTCTCACACTAATGCTACGAGGACGCTTTCTAACCGGCCGACCCATAGTTTTTCTTACATTCAAAGAAGTGACACATAACTACAGAGTAGTAACTTAGCTTGTAACTAAAGTAGGCCTATTAACTTACTTTTTTGTCTATATGGAAGGCAGTAGCTCCCAACCATGATGTACAGCCATAACTTAACTTAAAACCAGACCAGTCAGTCGGGATCAAAGTTAATGTGCAATGATAGGATATAGTAGGGGCCTATGTAATTTCTCCGAATTTCTGTTATGGGGGCATTTCCATATCTGCTGGCACAAACGAACGAATGAAAATATCGATCGATATATCAAACTAAACAACTAACAAAGCGTGCATGGATAAGTCTTTAAAAAGTAAACTTAATTAAACTTGGTTGCACAAAAATGGGGGAAACATTATCACCCCAAAAACTAACTTAACCCTTCACGGACGGGTGACGGATATATCCGCCTAAGTCTTTGGCGTTAAAGGACGGGTGGCGGATATATCCGCTTATGGTTTTTGATGTTCCGGACGGGAAGCGGATATATCCGCCTTCTCTTTAGACAGGCAGGTGCATGAGCAGTAACCAGATATTTCGCGGTACCAAGGCGCCACTTTCCTGCTCTCTGCATGGCTGCACTCCCCCCTCTCTCCCACGCCTACCCCTCTCCCGCGCGCCACCCCCTCTCTCGCGCACCACCCACCTCTCCTACGCTGCCCCCCTCGACGTTTCGTGCTCAACACTGCGTCTTTATTTATTGTTTACATACCTATTGTTCTTAATTTATTGCCTAACGTCATGGTCATATCTTCTGTGAGGTATCAAATTTTAAGGGGGGTAAAAAAACGTATTGCTAGTCAACAAACACCATAACT